TGTGGGTACTTCGGGCAATCCAAGCCAGGACTGCTTTGCAAGTGGGGCACCCCTGAGAACTGTCCGGGGTGGGGTTCGGGACCCTTTAAGCACAGCCCTCGGCTAGCCTGAGACAGCATCTCCACGCTCTAAGTCCTCCTCTGATGCCCTGCCGGCACTGCTTCCGGCCATCCTTAACCCCACTTCAGGGTCCACTTAATGTGGACGCGCTAGTTCGAATTAGCAAAACTCTAATTCGAACTAGTTTTTAGTTCTAGATGCGTTAGTTTGAATTAGCGCTGTAGTGTAGACATACCCTCCCTTTCTGACGTCTTAAACACAACACAGTCAAAAGTGAGCTCCTGATCTTTCCCCCAAGCCGTTCTCCATCCTTCCTTTCTTTATCCCTGTGGACAACACTATCATCCTTTCAGTTTCATAGATCGTGAATTCTGGGTCCATCTCTAACTCAGTGATATCACGGGACTTATCTATTCAGACCATTGCTAAATCTTGCTCCTTTTTCTTACACATCTCTATAAGCTGGATTTTCAGCTCCGTTTACATAACAAAACCTCTTCTTCAAGCCATCATCATTTCGTGCCTTAAGTATGGCAATCTTCTCTTTACAAAACTTTACTATTACTACCTTTCTCTCCCTCAAATATGTTCACAATGCTGTTGTTAAAATCTACTTCTGGATTCATCTTTCTGATCACATCATCTCCTCTCTGAGTCCTTCCATTAGCTCACCCTTCAACTCTGCATGAAATACAAGCTCTTTAAGCCCTCGCTCTTCCTGGCTGACCTAGTAAACGGTTGTAAGTTGACAACTGCCTTCACTCTGGAAGAATTCCCAGCCTTTTCCACCTACTTGTCAACTTCTACCTTTAAAACCTCTATGCTTCTCCAACCTTGCCCTTTATGCACAGAAAACAAAAATTCCCATATAAAATCCAAACAGCTACTTTCTCATCTTCTTTCAATCCCTCCTTAAGACTCAATCTGTAATGATGCCTAAAAAACCTTTTCTTTCTGATCATGAAAAGCCAGGTGATAAGTTCTGACTATAAGTTCACTCCTCTTTAACTTTTTTCTTTTATCTACTCCCTTCCTCTCTTTACTCTTATCCCCCCTCCCCCACTAAAATACAATTCAGTAAATGTATTTAACAAATTAATTAAATTGATGGATTGTATTTTCTATTGGCATCTCTAACAATTTGTTAATATGATTTGAGTCAATACTTGCATGTGATTTGAGTCACTTGATTAACTCTAGGTTCCTAAAGGGGAAACTATTTTGTATTTTATTTTTTGGAAGCTCTCACTATTTTGAAAAGCCATAAATTACATGTCAATTAACACAAAGGTTCTCTGGTTTTGAGACAATTCAATCATCATTCCACCTTATTCTCAGACTTCCCCTATTGAAAAAATACACAATTTTGCCTTACTAAATATGTTACAATGCTTGAGAGATGAAGTGTTTGAGGTAATATTATTCATTAAATCAACTTTTGTTTGTGAGACATGCTTTTGAGCTATGAAGAGTTCTTCCTCAGGTGTGGGAAAGATACTCCTAGCATCAATAGCCAAATAAAAGTTCAAGATAGTTTAGCACAAGTTTAGCATGTGTTGTAAAGCTACCATTCAAGAATATATGCTAACTATACTGCTAAACTATCTGTCTGACCTTTTTTTAAGCTGTGACATCCAGAGCAATTTCCTAGATCTGAGGAAGAGAGGTTAGTGTAGCTCAAAAGTTTGTCTCTCAACAACAGAAACTGATCCAATAAAACACACATCTTGTGTCTCTAGTTTTTTATGACTGACATGGCTACATTACAATGCTTGTGTTATTTTTCCAGTAGTCATGAATTTGCACGTATAATTACAAGTGTAAAGTTTTTTCCATGTATATATTTTACATAAGCCTTCTTTTTTAAATGTGGAAAAAAGTAATTCAAATCACATATTTCCAGATATGGCTTCTAAACATAGATAGCATGACAAAATTAGCCTGCAGATTTTCTTTAATTCTTGGCTGATACTGGCACATCGAGGAAAATATTATCTATAAACTGAGTAAAAAGGCAAACGGCAAATATTTCATGCAAAAATACAAATAGCATTATGAAAGGTGAAAGATGGCGGGGTGTCCTGTTTTATCTCCATAAAGTGAGCACGTGAGGGATAACAGAAGGAAAAGCATGTCAGGTACATACATACACACACACACAAATTGGAATCAAGCACATGCTCAAGAAACAAAGTCAAGATATAAAATGCAGACAGCCCACTGACATTGTAACTGTAAAACACCCACAGGCAACTTCAAAATGACAGAAACAAATAACTAAACTGTCTAAACCACTAAACATTACCTCTAGAATTCCTTAGAGAGTCCCTCTTAATATCTTTTAAAGATAAGTTTAACAATGAGACTTTTCCGATTATTCCTACTACCAGTAGTTCATCTTTTATGTATTTCCACTCTTGTATTAATTTTTAAACAAGCAGAATCACTTCATTAAAAAGCACAAAATGTACTGCTTACTAGTGCTCAGTGCTACCATAAATGGATAATTGAAATTATTATATGAAAAACATTTTTTTTTGTTCTGGAGCACATTCAGCAAAGAGACAACATTTGGCAAATTCATCTTC